GGAGTAACTTAAACCAAGATTTGGATCCACCAACTCAAGAAGGTTTCCTTGCTCTTGAAGAACATAGGCCTTCAATTGCATGAAAGTATATGCAGTTATTACAAAATTCAATCAAACCATTAATTTTATGAAGCATATTGAACATTCACTAATGCAAATCATGATTAGAATAGCTAACCCAGTCAAGAAGATAAACAAACTCCTCTTTTGGCCTGTAACTTGTGTTGCTTTTTTCACTAACAATTTCTAAAGCAACAACTCCAAAACTATAAACATCTGCTTTCTCAGTTAAGTATCCTCGCATTGCATATTCAGGAGCCATATAACCACTAGTAAAAAACATATAATGTTAATAATCAATTCAAAAACATAGAACGTGCAAAGAAAATCTAAGAAGAAAAGGCCTATTAATATTATTACTAAACCAAATACGAGAATTATATTGATCTAGTAAAGAAGATGTAGTAGAATATATACTGACATTGTTCCTGCTATTCTTGTGCTTATATGAGTATTCTCATCTTCATCAAGTTTGGCTAATCCAAAATCTGAGATCTTAGCATTCAAATCCTTATCAAGCAAGACATTTGTTGCCTTAATATTTCTATGCACAATTTTCAACCTCGATTCCTCATGAAGATAAGCCAATCCTCTTGCTATTCCTATGCATATCTTCATTCGTGTAGGCCAGTCCAAGTGTATCTTTTGTCCTTGGCCACCTAACATTAACATCAATGGTATGTTAATTAATAACATATTACTATCAAGTCATTCAATAAAAATTAATTTTATATTTGTAGAAGTTGTTTCAAATGAGAAAATATGTTTGAATTAAAAAAAAAAGCCTAAAATATAACATCTAAATTTTGTCTTCTAAAAAGTAAACGTATAACTAAGAGTTGCTGGCAAATAATTTGAGCACAATTTTACATTTTCTGTCATAGTGATGTAATATTGTGACAAACACAGACAATAAGAGGATGTATATCAAAATAATTTTATTTGTTTCTACTCAATCATTTTATCTTTTCCTTATATATATACTACATATGGTAATTTTTTATTGTGAAGAATTAAGGTTCTTACCAAAAAGAGCACTAGCAAGACTATTATTCTCCATGTACTCATATATCAGCAACAATTGATTTCCTTCAACGCAACATCCATAAAGCTTTACAAGGTTTGGGTGTTGCAAAGCAGAAATCATTCCAATTTCATTAACAAATTCACGATTCCCTTGCTTTGATTTAGAGGAAAGCTGTTTCACAGCTATGACAACACCATTTGATAGTGTACCCTGAAATTCAGTTTACCCTTTAGTTTGAATTTTCATAATCTTTCTTAAGCAAAATTATTATCTCTTAAAGACATAATCTCTTTATAAGTGTATTCAATTATGTAATATTGGTTAAAGATAAATATGATACACTAAAAATTACCTTGTACACCGGTCCGAAACCTCCTTCACCAATCTTATTTTCTAGGGCAAAGTTAGTAGTGGCATCTTTAATTTGTTTTAAAGAGAAATAACCTATTTTTAAATCTAAAAGTTCTGCATCAAAAATAAAAGTTATATAAATACAAAGCAAAATACATTGAAATTACAAGAAACTTAGAAATAATTACGTGTATATATATGCAAAAATCATTATTTATCCATTTGACTTTCATGATAAAATCCAGGCATATAAAAAAAATCATTTTTTCACTATATAATACCAAATTATCAATAGACATAGTTGCTTTCTTATTTTTGATTTTGATCTTACGTTTGGCTTTTGAATCTCTGTCACCTTGTAAGCCCATTTTTCGGAGGATGAATATTATTATTAGTATGATGAGGAACACACATGATCCAACCACAATTCCAGCAATAGCTCCACTAGAAATCCAAGGAATTTTGATTTTGAAATCTACATGACAAAAAGTAGTAATGCTTACGATTCATACCAAAATCAAAATTGTCATCTCTTAGCTCAAGCTAGAAAGAGCATAAACCAAAAAATATGAGATTTGACTTACTTGGGGTGACTGAAATAGCAGATATAAGAGGTCCATATACACCATCATTATAAGGAATAGAGGTAGTTCCTTTTCCAGCCCAGTACAAATGAATCTCCAAGGTGTTATCATTAACATCAACATTAAAGTTCCTGACAATGCCCTTACCAATGCCACCTGCTTCCCTCATAATGTTGAAATCGTGCAAATATTTTCTACCCTGTCAAGGTATACATAAAATAGTTTCACCTTCCAGAACTTCTATTAACGTATATAGCAAAAATAGTTGAAAGCATGTTAAATAATTAAGAAACTTGTAATATATTTCATACAGGTTAAAAAAAAATCTTAAACTATATTAATTCTTCATTAAAATATTACAAATTTCTAACTTTACATCTATTTAATATAGATACCTTTCAAAAAACATAACTATCTATACTATAAATGAAGGATAAAATAGTACATTCATATTAAAAATTTAATGAAGTGACTTATAAATAGGACAAAGAAAAATTTTCTCTCTCTGACTTATAAATAGGACTAAATAAGTATATGCAATAAATGAGAGAGAGAGAGAGATATTAATGGAATTCACATAGCATTTAGGTCCCGTTTGATATGAAGTGTTAAAAATAAGGAGTAAGGATTAGAATTGAGATTAAAAAACAATATTAAAAGTATTTAGTATGAGTGATTATTTGTTACTTAGAATTAAATAAATTCATATATGTGAAATTGTGGAATACCATGGGAGAGAGGTGATATTCCTTATTCCCACCTACATGAGATTATCTAATTCCGCGTAATAAGAAATTACTCATATTAAATACTTTTCAATGGTATTTCTTAAATTCAATCCTAATTCTTACTCCTCATTTTTAATAATTCATACAAAACTAGACCTTAACTCTTGCCATAGATGGGGTTGGTCTTTATAATTAGCCATTTAGCCACCATTTAAAGAGACACATAAATATAGTGGTAAGCTCACTTGATAGTGACACGTGCCACAATATTTATTTCTCTTCATCTATATGGCTGCATGGATGGAGAGTCTTATCTTCTCACCATTGAATTTTGTAACCACTGGAAAAAATTTTAAATTCAACATAGTGATGAGACTTACTTGGATTGAAACATCAAATATGCGCCTTCCAACATGATGGAAATTTTGGTCATAAGAAAACATAATCTCAGCAAAATACAGTGTGACGTTGTAATTTCCATTAATCAAACAGAGGCCATGGTACTTGAGAGACAAAGGGGATAGGCGAGCTGTTTTGTAGAAGTCAGGACCAGTAATGTTGAGGGATAAACTGTTTGTTGCTCTGTTATTATAGGATGTTGCTCCTGTTGTGGTGCTATAAGCCCATTTATCATCACCAGGGCAAGAGAATGAGACACTCTGAGAATTGACGTCGCTTTCATATTTATTCCCCTCATATTCAGTTTCTAGTCCTCCACAATTTATGAAAAAGGAATGATCTACATGCATAGGGACAACCTCATCAAAAATCACCTCTATAAGAGAATCCAAATGATCAAACTCATAGGATCATGATCTCTCTCTCTCTCTCTCTATATATATATATATATTGTCACATGACATTGATAGTCATTTCACTGTTACGTTCACTAAAATCTACATTATTTAGTTAAAACTCTTGAAAGGGTTCATGAAAACTACAAAAAGATAATGTCATGGGAAACTCTCAATCAAGCATGAAAACAGTGATGTACAAAAGTTTAATTAGGCACTCACACTTGGGTTTTCCTCCACAAGGAAGGCCCCTTTTCAGGCAAGTACATCTGCAAGATGAATAAAGATCACAGCAAAAGAATTTAGAATAAGTGAAACAAGATAGCTGTAAGTATAATCTTACGAAGTTTTTGCTGGAGATGATAGACTCGAAGCCAAGTTTCTGTATAACCATTAAAAAAAAAGAGCTTAGAGTTGCTGCGTGATGCCTTCAAGAACAAGAAAAATGTTGTTTTAGGGTGGAGGCGAGGAGCTTACAAATTTTCATACTGACAGGTAGTCACAGAAGTCTCCGAAAAATTATTATAAGATAAATCATCACTGCAATAGAAAGTAGTGTGAAATTAGAGATGAAAATTAAAAAACTTAAGAAAATAAGGTAAGTAATCGTCATACAAGTTTCAGACATCTTGAATTATCAAGATGGTTTAATCAAAAGTAGTGTGTGTAGAAAATTGTGCTGATTAAAATTTTAATATGACATCTCAAGGAGAAAAAATTACCATAAAGTCTCAATGATAAGTGAACAATTATTATTATTATTTATATTGAAACTTATCATTGCATGCTACTCTATTGTTACTGGGACTTATCTTCCTTCCTTGAGATTTCAAAGCAATTCTCCTAAATTTTTTTAAATGTCAAAGTTCAAATCAAGATGACATTATGGAAAGGGGATTAATTAAAATGAGGAGATTTAAAGGCTAAAGATGTTTTTTGTCAATAAAATTTATGGTAATTAATTTCAAATAGTAATGGCATTGAACTGATATATGTAGTAATGACAAACAAAATTAAAATAAAAATGTTTTACTAACAAAGAACCATCATTGTTTTGCTGTTGCAATAGCCAATCAGGAATTTTTCCAGTGAGAGAATTTTCAGTTAGAATCCTGCATACATAATTAATAAAGATCTATCAAAAAAGAGTAATTAAGTTTCAAAAAAAAAAGTTATACACGTGTGTAGAATGCTCCCTTACATGGAAGTTAGGGAGGTCAAGTTTCTTATATTGTTTGGGATTTTACCGATCAACTTGTTGAAGCTCAAATCTCTGCAATTAATACAGGGGCCACAAATATTGCTTCATAAAAATAACTAAAAAGTAATATTTCTTGTAATAAATAGTCCACCATAAAAGTAGCCCTAAATTAGGAATTAGGTTGTGAATTAAACATTAAATTGGGAATATTATTTAGAAGATTTTGGATTCGTAGTATGAGATGAAGCAACTTACAGCCTAGATAAGTTTTTCCATTTTACCAATATAATTTGGAATGGAACCATGGATGGAGCAATTTCTCAACACCCTGAGAGAAAAACAGAGTATGAAAATTCATTAAGAATATATAGCTCTCATTTTTTATTAACAAATTTTCACCTCACTATTAAATTCTCAACATACAGGTACTGCAAGGATGTCAAATTGTCCAGATTAGGAAATCTCATTATTGCTGATCCATGCAAATCAGATATTTTCCTGAATTAAAAATTAAATACAAAACAGTATCAATAATAGGAAAATATTCTCTGTTGAAATTAAATTTCATAACCATCAAATAGTTTGCGGATGAATTACAAAAGACTAAGTACTCACAAAGTAGTCAAATTTGTTAAATGAGATATGGCTGTGGGAATGGGGCCTTCCAAGGCCGTTCCCTGTAAAGACCTGCCCAAATAAAAAATGTAGTGAAAACAATAATTTTGAAAGTAAAGGAAATACTTAAAAAGCCCAGTCCATACAGTCTTTTTATTTGTGTGGATTGATTTTAATTGAAAAATTAAAATTATTGCATTGTTTTATTTTATTTTTACTTACATAGCTGGACTAACATACATAATCATATCTTGGTTCAATTTTGTTTCTTATTTTCACTCCATGAACATCTCCCACATTGATAGTTTTTTTTTCCCTCTCATCCACTACTATTGAGAATTTAACTAGTTATTAACAATTGATTAGATTATGCATTATGCAACCTCCCATCCTTTACTAATAAATCCAAATGACAAGTGATCAATATAAATCTATCGTCCTTTTTTACTAAATCTTGTCACTACATGTTACTTGATTGTCCTTGTTCGAATTTTTAGTTATTACATTTTTTTATTGGTGTACTATAATAATTCTCCCTTCTTTCTTTGTTTGCAACAATTTCCAATGAAATTAAATGGAACAATATAATGGAACGGAGGAGTAAATGAAAATAAAAGCACTGAACTTCATTAAGCTTATTAATTTCGATACATTAAGTTCATATAGTAGTATCTTATTTAAAAGGAAAGTATTATGATAGAGAGTATATTAGACTCACATTACTCGGAGTTGGGTCCAATTTCCAATAAAACTGGGTAATTTTCCTGATATATTTGTCCCATCTAAATAACTACAAAAATGTTAGGAAAGAAATTTTAGAATTTAAAAGAGATCAACACAATATCAAAAATAAAATACAATGAAATGATTAATCATATTATACCACTCACATATATTCTAATTTTTTCAAATTACCAAAACTTTCAGGTATTGCCCCTAAGAAGTTATTTCCAGCAAGATACCTACAAGTTCCAAATCCTTAGAAACAGATAACACATCTAAAAGCAATAGGAAAAATTATCTATAATAAGACTAATGTGGTAGTCACAATGCAACTAATAAGATAAAAGAAAATTATTTGCACTTGAAATAATATTCTTACAATTCGCGTAGCTGTGTCAATTTTCCAAGACTAGGAGGAAGAGTTCCTTCCAATAGGTTATCTTTCAAATCTCTGTAGAAAGTAGAAAAACCATAAAATTATTTCCCAACACAACAATAAGTTTTTAAAAACTCAAAGTGTAATGATTTATACTTACAAATCCTCTAAAGTTGCAATGTTACCAATCTCGTCTGGAATTTGACCACTGATTGCGTTAGCCGTAAGGTCTCTAAGACATGTGTTTAAGAGATGAATAATGCATATGGTCGAATAATTCAAGCTTGAATAAGTGTGAGACAAATCACTAGTTGAAAACAACTATATTACCTCCGATCCTTAATATAAGAGTTAGTTGACTAATTTGAATAGATTAAAAAACTAGTTAAGTTAGTTATTTGTAATAAATAGGTATTGCATTTTTCAAAATATCCTTACTAATCAAGTGTGTTGACTAGAACTACCATTAGCACAATGACTACTTTGGAAAAAAAAAGAATAAATATAAGAGATAAAGTGGATTAGGGTCTTATATTTAAGACCAAAATAAAAGTCAAACGAAATTTTATATTAAGAACGGGAGGTAGTATTTATATATATTCATTCACAAATCTATGATCACTTACAATGTAACAAGAGGCAGTCCTGCAAAGCTCCCTGGGATTGATCCACTTATATAATTGTGAGACAAATCACTGTGCCGTATATAAAAGCTACAATTTAGATAACAAATTCCCACATTTCAACTAAGCATACACACACACATGTTTAAACCAATAATAGAATTAAAAAAATTCATTACTTACAGTACTTGTAGATAGGTAAGGGATCCAAATTCACTTGGTAAAAGTCCAGATAAGTTGAGACTCCTGAAATAGCTATTATAAAAAGAAAACATATTAATACAACTAGTTACATAGAGCTAAAATAAAATAAGTTATCTTATATTAGGACCAATTTGTTGGCAGGAAAAAAAAAGCACCAATGTGCATTTCAATATTAATTTTATTGCGATGTAGAGCCAGACCTAACTTATTCTAGGTACCATAGAAATGTATCTCAAAATCAAATCAACTGGTTTTAAATAAAGAAAGAAAACTTTTCAACATTATTTGTAACTCATTAAACACAACTTGATTTAGATGGGAGCTTGATTTGTACCCAAATTGAAAGGGTCACGTTGTAATGATATAGACAGATGCACTTACAGATTTGTAACATGACAAACTGTTCCATTTGAGAAACTGCAATTGCATGTTACATACTTTGTAACACAAGAATGTTGGGTCACATTCCAATCCAAGTTCTCTATCTTTGATGATATTGTGTTTAGAACTTTCACTGCATCAAACACAATTCAGTTTTTTCAAAAAAATAAAAGAAATAAAAAATTCAAAGTACTTCTCGTTGCCCACTTTGTTTAACTTCGACATGCATTGATATTGACATTGAGGAACTTGTCCACCATATGGATCATGCAAAGCTGCTTCAAATTCAATTTAAAACGCTAATAATGGCTTAACCTATAAACTTAAGTAGCAGTGAATGTCTAATTCGTTGTTTTTATTCTTATATTGATTAAGAAATGTCTTCTTCTCCAGAACAGCATCAATAATACCCAGATATGAGCGTAGAAATCACGTTTCCCTAATAAGCGCGTCGGGAAATAAACATGAAAATATTTTTTAATAGGCTAAAATGCACAAAAATTTCTGAACTTTAGGTCGGTTTATGCATTATCTCTCAAACCTTTAAAAGTTTAAACTAAGAATCTTGATGTCTCATGTCTTGACTATCAACTTCCCTATCATTAAAATTAATTGTTTTTGTCATGTCATATGTTTTGTTTTTTTTTTTATTATATACCATTTCATTTTTAGAAAAAATATTTAGTATTTTACATGCAATGTTGTATATTTAATACACTTAAAAATATATTTAAAACATTTATTTGACCATGTCTTTTAAAATGAAAAGGTAGAAAATCGTTAAAATACTTATCTCAAACGCCAAATATTATTTTTTAAATGATATGATATATAATAAAAAATATAAAAAAATTGTGACATGTCAAAAACCGTTAACTTAAACTATAAGTTTGAAAGTAGGGGAATTGAGATTCAAAACATGAAATATCATGATTCTTAAATTAAACTTTTGAAAGTTAGGGAGGTGATGTGCAATTGGCCCAAAGTTAAAGGGTTTTTACATATTTTATCCTGTATAATATAAAATAATATAATTAATTATTTTATCATTTTTATAACTGTGGTTTACAAGTTTTCAAATTAATAATTAAAACATAGCTTTTGTATTCTCTTTATAATGATATATCTCAAAATATATAAAACTCTTAAAAATAATTAATTCAATTTTTCAGAACTTTTTTGGTTTATTTTATTTAAAAAAAGAAAGATTGATAAACGACTATTAACACATTTCATAAATTATAAATACGAGAACACTGCGCTGAATACAATATATAGTAATAGCATGAAAAATCAAAATGAATTGACTGTTATGGAAATTAAAGTAGATTGTTCATATTTAATTCAGTTTCATGGGTGTGAGGACTAAATTATTCAGAAATTATAACAATCATATAAATTAAGCCAATAAGATATTTTGTATTAATACATAACAAGTAATTGATAAAACATGATTTTCTATCATAGTTTGTGCATGCAAAAGAGATTACTAAGCTTTATTCATCTATCCAGGTTGCCAAGAAAATTTTAGATATAATTTATATCTATGTATAATATAGAAATTTTAATAAATCGCATTCCTTATACGGAAAAAAAATATTAGTATTGATTACTTGGCTCTTTGAATTCAATATTAGCATAAAATTAAAGCAGTGACAAATAAATGAATAAAATAAATTACTATAGTTTTCAACCATTGGAATCTTGTTGGTAAAAGGGGGGAGAAAGAAAGAAAACATTTGAATCAGTTTATTTAGTTCCCTTCTCGGAGGGAGAAAAAAATGAAGGATCAAGTCTCGAAAGTTACGACAGTTCTTTATCACTGCTTGTTCAAGAAGAGGAAACAGTTAACCATCACATTGACCCCTTTCTTTTGTGTATTTTCCTTTGAACAGTAAGAAAATAGATGGAAATGAAAGAATTGATCATAATGCTAAATAGAGTAATATAGTATATGCTAAGGAGTAAGAAAAACAGAAAGGGATTAATTAAGAAACCTTCATCTTCTGGTATGAGTTGAGCATTGGATCCATAGTTTATGAAGGCTGTCAAAGCAAAGCATCTAAAAACAAAAAAAAATATAAAAGTTTAGAGATTGAGATCCCAAACTCCATTTTGGTTGTTGCACTTTGAAGAAAATAACTCTGAGGGAGCAAAGGAAGAAGAAGGAGGAAGAAGTAGTTTGCAGAATCACACGGTAGCAAAACACAAGAGACTACAGAAGAAGCTAAGGATGATGCAGCAGAATAGAGGCAAGAAGAAAAGAAAAGCAAGTCAAGATTTTTACAGGTCTTCTACTTTTTTGTAAATTAATAAAAAGCGTTTCTCTTGTCTCGAGAAGAGGTAATAAAGCTATTGATTTTTTGGTAGGATGTGGAGCAAAGAGGATCCACCACAATCAGGGGC